CCCCCGAAAAAAAAAGGTATTTGGAGACAGGGTAGTACAAAATTGCAGAAAGAAGAAGAAAGCAAAAATAGGAGAGGAAAGGGAGGAGTGCTAGTGATGTGGATGACTATGAGAAACAACCAACAGGCTGAGTGAAGCCTCTTTTCTTACAAACCTGCGTATGACAGTTGGATTCGAGTGAATCCTGTGGTGTCTAACGAAGGCAGGGGTTGGGAGGGGTGCTCTGCTGCCTTTTCCCTGATGGAAGTGGGAGCAGGATCTGTCTCTCTCTACGAAATTCATAACTGGTGAGATATTGTGTCTCGCTTGGAAATTAGGGAGAACTAACTGCTGCTTAACTTCCCTTTAAAAAAAAGCACCAAAAAGCACAAAGGAAGTGGAGGCTGAGAGCAAACCGAGATGTGAGATAAAGCTCTGAGGGGTGAAACACAACATAGCACGGGGTGCTCAACAGGAATGTAACTGCCAGCTGCTTTGTTTTCCTCCGCAGGTACTGACCGACTGGATTAACTCAACGCTGAAGGAGGAGCACATAGTCGTTAGGAGTCTGGAAGAAGATCTGTATGATGGGCTGGTACTGCATCATCTTTTGGGTAGGCTGCTGCTTTGAGTCCAGCTTGCAAACACATCCTGGGGAGGTTCCAGACCAGAGACTAAACCTGGGGAAGTAGCAGTGGTGTGCTGGAGCCTCGCCTCTCGCTCGCGGGGGCTGCGCTGCACTCTGCACAAATGCCTTGGGAGGATCTGCTATTGGTTTTATCCAGTTATTTTTCTTCTAAGAAAGGCTTTTTACCTGCTAATTAACGCAATGAAAAGGTTAACTTTGATGTGTGAAATTACAGTGCCTCTGTAGGGGAGGAGGGCTTCCTAAGCCAGGAGCACAAAGGTGACTTGTGATGCTACCAGAAAAGTTGGATGGAATCAGGACTATAATTTATATGTTTCCCTGCATTAAAAAAAAAAAAGAAATAAGATAGTTCTTAGTCTATAAAGCACTGGGCTGGAACTGATGAAAACCTGAGAGGCTCTCTACACTACGAGGTGCTTGTATAAAGATATGGCCTCTTGGAACAGCCTGTTGCTCTATTTCTGTTTTTCCATCTCTCCCGTCCCCACTTCATTTTTCTTTTCCCTTTCACCTCTTTGGGCCTGTCTTTTACATCTCATCTCCTTTTCACTGAGGCTGAGGGCAGCAGCATGAGCAGGATTGGCTTATATTCAGAGTTACTTGCCTGAGCAATGAGCTGGGCTTTTTCTGTAGATGGGAGTTGATGTTGCCTTTGCACACTATCTGCAGGGAAGATTCGCGTGTTTGATTCCTGTAGCCTCCCCTAGGAAAAGGAGGGATGTGGAGTGCCAGGGTTGGGGGATGATGCTGCAAGGAGTGACTTGAGTCACTCTTCTGCAGAGCTTCACTGACTTTACTGAGGCTTTCAGAGCACGTAGGAGTTTAACAAGGCATACAGCTGTGGGACGTGCCTCTGTGAAAGATATTAAGCGGTATCGAACATTTAAAACAAGACTGTGTGTGCTGTGCTGTCATTTTACGTTTCTGATTTTATTTTTTTTTTTCCTATGGTGGTGTTAAAATACATCCTTTTCCTTCCTATGGACTTTCTGTCAAAGAAAACCTAGCATCTCTCAAGCTGGATGTTGACAAGATCGCATTAACGGAAAAAAAACAGCGACAGAAACTCTCTGTGATTCTGGAAGCTGTGGCTAAGTGTTTGCAACTGGAGGAAAGTCAGCTGAAATGGAGTGTGGAATGTAGGTGCAGAAGTGCAATTGGAGAAGTTTATCCGTCACAGGGCTCCCTCTGTCGTAAGGCTGCCGTGAGGCAAAGGCAAACCACGACAGTAATTACATGACCTGTTTTTAATTACTAGTTGAGTCAGAAGTGAGACAGGAATATCTGACCCTGCCTGGGTCATGCATCCTCTAAGCCTGTGGCTTGTGGGCCACTTAAGAGCCCTCAGCGTCTGTGTGATGTCTCACAAAAAGGACTTTTAAGATGTATTATTACTGAACTGTGATATTATATAACCTGGCCGTCCATCGCTTCGGGTTCCTCTGCGCAGGGAGAGTCTATGGGTTAGAGTGAGGTTTATTTGTTTTGCACGCTAAATGTTGTTTTCTTTCTTTACACGGGACAGCTATCTTTACAAAGGACTTACTGAGCACGCTGCATCTTCTGGTTGCAATAGCAAAGCACTTCAAACCCAGCCTGGCCATGCCTCCGAATGTTCAAGTGGAAACAATCACCATTGAGGTAACTGGAGTTTCAATATTTGCTGCAGTAGATTCCAGAGACCTTTCACAAGACAAATTTGCTTAGAATTAGGGAGAAACGTGCATGCTGATGTGAAAGAGATTCTTGTGTTTTCTGTGAACTGTGCCTTTAATTCCTGAGTCCTTCTACTGGGGTCACATTTTCTTATTTTTCTCTACAAGCCAAGATCTATATGCTTTCTTCCTCTAATTTGTTTCTTAAAGTCAACTCTGGGACTTCAGGGGGACATCAGATATCCCACAGTTGGGTATATAATTGCAAAAATTAGCACCACTGCGTTACAGTTTTAACAGGGTTCACAATTCACAGAATCATCTAGGTTGGAAAAGCCCTTGAAGGTCCTTTGATGGGGACTCCCCCCCTGCCCTGGGCAGCCCATTCCAACGCCCAACAGCCCCTTCTGCACAGAAATCCTTCCTCAGAGCCAGCCTGACCCTGCCCTGGGCAGCTTGAGGCCATTCCCTCGGGGCCTGGCGCTGGGGCCTTGGCTCCAGAGACTCATCCCCCCTCTCTGCCCCCTCCTGGCAGGGAGTTGCCGAGGGCCAGGAGGTCTCCCCTCAGCCTCCTCTTCTCCAGACT